CGGCTTGTTTTACAACGTCGTTGCCAAGCGACGAAAACCCAACCCCGATGGTAAATACCGGGCGGGGGGCGGGGATGGAGAAATATATGGGCGGGCGGGGGAAGGGGATGGATGTTTGCGCGTCGTTCGTGCTACCGTACGTAGTTTGCATATGATATCACACCCCCTGGACCGATATTTAAAACTCGGTTGCTCCACGATGAAGCGGATGCCGATATCGAACGACACGTTTTCGGAAAGCTTCCGACGACACGGTTCTAACGCCGTCATTTTTTGCACCGTCACTGCTTTTCCTGTCGAGATATCCAGCTTCGAAAATTGGTCCAGGGGTGTGTGACATCTTATTCAACCTACGGTAGCATTCAACCTACGGTAGCATCGACCGCGCCAACCGGCCGACCAATGCAAAGACATCAGTCTCCGTGCGGTTGAAAACAAAAAACGCTACCACAGGCCATAATCTGGGACCCTGTGGTCGGGCGTCATGGAGGGGTCTATGCTACTCTCTGGATCAGTGACAGATGCCGTAGCTAAGACAGAAGAAATCCACACGTGTTTGGGACGCGCGTTCGTTGTGGATTTCAGCGCATTCAATAAAGTCCCGCCACTCTCGTCGCCAGTATTCAATATTCCCACTTCCTTTCGGTGGGTCATCGGCAGTCCTGCGGCGTTTGATGCGAGGAAGGTCATCTACAGTAGCTCTAGCTGTAGTTTCTTTCTCTTTAGCTTTGCTCACCGGCTGACCAATGAAAAGACGTCAGGCTCAGCGCGAGAGAAAACACGGAATGCTTCTAACGGCCAAAATCTGGTAGCCTAGTCCGAGAGTCATGGTGGAGTCTGCGCTACTCTGTGGATCAAAGAAACCGCAGCAACAACAGACAACAGCTGCACAACTCTTCGTCCCATGTATTTTGGTGCCGGTTTACAGGCCTTTCGGCAATGAGAGTGGAGCAGTACTTCTTCAATTGGTCCAGACTCGGTTTCACACCCGGCACTTGTGACACCCAAACCCTGCCAATGCATATCATGGGCTAGAGTGAAAGAGTGAGCAACGACCTTTTCCATTTGGGCTTACGTAAATTTCACCAAGCGCGTGTCAGTTTGGGCCGAACAATGACATTTTCGATAGCTGGGGTCGTGGACATCCGACATTTACTATGGCTCTCTGTGTCCGACGTGGTTCTTTCGTCGAAAGAATAGACATACAAGTACGCATATGCATCTGACACCAAAACTGTGAGTTTCCAGTATAATGTCAGAACTGGAGGTGGAGATTCTGCGAACCAATGGGACAGGGAAGGTCTTTCGATCAACAGTGCTTTGTATTCGAACGCTCTGGCACCGGAATGTACAGTGCGGACTGTGTAGTTTTCGCACATGAGCGAACAAGAGGAGACTTCTGTAGGTCTCAAAGATCAATCCAACCTTCCCTATATTGAGCCCCGGAAACCACACGAAGTTTAACATCGTACGAGGTAACGTGCGATCACTCCATCGTGTCATTTTGGGGCAGTTACTCCACGGGCCTCTTCGTTGGAGTATTTTTGAGGTCCCGGAGCAGAGCTTGGCACGGTAGAATGAACGCTAATTTCATCAATATTTTACGTTGCCGTGGGCGCCGGTAACTCTATCGGCTGTCGTTCCTGTCAGCTAAATTTTCATTGACGGCAAATGACAGATACCCAAAATAAAAGCAAAATACAGTCCCAAGGAGTCACTATCCCTCCGCTCTCTGCCCCCCGTCGCGTTCAAAAGCCTCCGCCACCTTGGTGGTAGCGAGCACACCAGCACAAGTGGTCAATTTTGGAACGGCGGGGTGGACGTTCCTGCTGCTGCTCGGTTTCTCCCCGTGAGTAGCTCTCTCTGGAATGCGACGGGGTACAATCAATGGTGTACTAATGGTGCCTCCCAGCAGCGTAGAATGTCTGCAGATTGTTGGAAATTTTCACCCTCTGACCTGAGCCGGTTGCCCCGGGAGTCAATACCACCGTGGTTGGTACCCTTGCAATCGTCGGCACCCAGGGTCTGGGGGTCGGGTCCCGGCGTACGCGAGATCTCGAAATAAGAAAGTGGAGAGCGCTACATATATTTGCAATTCGTGTATGCACTTTGTGGGAAACAGCATGCACCCTTCTCGCGATGAGAATAGCGAAGGCGACAACCAGGGTAGGTGGTCGCCAGGAGGAGGAATCCTTCAGTGCAACCGCGGATTATCTGTGAATACATATATACATATAGCAGCTGTTCGTAGTCCAAACCGAAACAAAAAATATAGCGGGGCGCCCGAAAATTTATTACAAAAGCTATTTTTTGCCCTCCTTAACTATGGTGCACTTTTTCATGGTAGGTGCGCATGTAATAGTGCACCCGTCAAACATCTCAGACCAATCCGCCGTACACCGATCAATACGTGGCACAACATGCGCCTGATATGCTTGCACTAAGCATGAACGTGTTGAAGAAACCTTGTTGAGGGCCAGTTATTTCCCCCGTGAATGTGAGGATGCCAAGGGCTAAGTAACGAGCAGAGTTTGTGCATGAAATATTTCCCCCATGTACGTGGTATGTACACGTCCGGATTCCTTCACCTTCGCGAGATCGTCACGCGTCCGTTGCCTGGTCTCGAGGACGCTCGATCTTCGACCACGACAACTTATGTGTGCGATATTTTTGCTGCACGGTGGCACGGAAAATCAACATGGATGGGTACTGGGACAAGAAGCACTCATGAAAGCCCATTAATTCGCAACGAAGAAAGACAATCCGGGTATTCGGACCACAGCTGAACAAATGGGATTGCAGTAGGCCAGCAACTGAAAATGACGGGGTGACCAACCAAACTGAAAACTAAATTTCCCGAAAACACAAAAATACCGGTATTTGGCAACACAGAGTAACAATTTAGGACTTGGACCTACTCTCCATCCTTGCCTCGAGAAGGCCCTTCACAGCAGGAAACACACCTCCACAGGACTTCCATCCGAGTAACGCCTCTACCTTCGAAAAAAAACTCTATCTAGGAGGACAGAAGGAACCGATATAGGTGCACCTACATTCATGACTACTGCTGCCGGCTCGGGGAAATTCCCCCCGCGTCGGCACACCGTGAAATGGGGCGGAACAATCGGTGACATGGGGGGGGGGGGGGGG